AAAAAAAAAAAAAAAAATAGAGGGGGGAGCAAAGTGTTTATGTGCAGGGATTTTCTTTCTTGAACAATGAGACTTCTAGCCCATCTCTCCTCTCTGCCTTCTGAAACAGGATTTTTCCACCCGTCACGCGTGTCTTTGGATCTTGATGGGTTTCCACGTTTCTTCTCTCCCTCTTCTGCCCTCCCTAGTGAGGGAGGTTGGGCTGGCGGGCTAAACTCCCTATCTAAAACTGGCTACCATTCACGCAACTTTGTCTAAGTTATTTCTTAGTGGCTTTTTTTTAAAAATTCTCTTTCTCCCTCATCTAGGAAAGGGAGCCGTTATGCAGAGAAATTGGAAGAGCTCAGGTACAGAGGAGTGGGTTGGAGGAATGGATGACCACCAGCCGTCCTGCAATCCAGGGAAGCTTCAATTAGCTTTTTGACAAAGGGGCAGAAGAAGCATAAAAGATAGGTAGGCTCTAAGAACAATCGATGACACAGACGGTTGTGCGTTTTCAAGGGCGAGCAGTTTGGGGGTTGAACCAACTCAACTACCATTGCCATTTTTCTCAGTCTAATCTTTGGGCAGTGAGGAGGAAGATAGGCCTCCACGCAGTTGCTCAACCATTGTTCCCAAATCAGTGGTCAATCTCCTTTCCCCACCCCGCCTCCTGCCGTTTGCGCCACCTACCACCACCCCCTGGCTGGGATCCCTACCTAGATTATGGAAAAGAAGCAAACGAGACCCCAAATACCATAATGGGAACAATCTTTCCCACTTATTGCTTTCATCACACTATCCCAAAATGAGATGGTAGCCAACTTCACTGGAGAGGGGTATCAATAATGGAGTTGGAGGAATGTGAACCCCCTCCCCAAACCATTCAGTGCAGGATGAGATCACAGTCTCCTTCACTGATATCCAAACAATGCTTTTTTTTAATACCCTCCTCCTCTTTGAATTTTCAGCCTGATTGTACTACTGCATCTACTCAGAAGTAAGTCCCATAGAGACCTGTGTGTGGGCAAGACACCATATCACAAACAAGCCAATCACATTTTAGCTTAGCATGTGGTGTCAACTCCTAAACCTGGGTTAAGGAGCAAACTCATGTTCCATTAACCATGGGTCAGGAAGGTTGTCTGAATACAGCCATCATCCGAGGGGGCTTTGTACCAACCATATGTGGATGACTTAAGTTTCATTGGCCGTATATGTTAGGACTCTATTGCCTACTCCTGCCGAACAGCACTGAAATCATTCTTGTTGAAGATCAGCAGCTCCGGAAGCGACAGATTAGATCCAGGCCAATCTTTACTAACCTATGCTAGCTGGGGAAGATGAAAGTCAACATTGTCTGCATCCAGGACAGTAACACTTGGGAAAGACTGATGTATAAAGGTTATCAAAGTCAAGTGAATAGCCTAGCTTGCAATACTTCAAATCAGATCCCAATAGGACAATCTAAGGTATGAGGTATTGAGCTCCAAGGATAGGGATAAGCAGCAGAAAATGGATTTTTCAACCCAAGTTAAATTATTTCTACCAATTTTGCCTGACTTGGCATCTTCTCCAACTGTGTTGGGCATTAATTCCCAGAATTCCTAGTGGCCACAGCCTTTGCCATATCTAGGAATTCTGGGCACTGAAATTCTAGAATTACCTTCTAGCTCTAGAAAGTATCAGGTTGGGGAAACTCTTGGGGTCAAATCTTGATCTTACCAGCTTCTCTATTTTTTTCCAATCCTACTTTTTTCCTTAGAAATAAGGACCCTTGGGTCTTTTTCAGGCATTGTGAAAAAGCAGCTTTGGAGACTGATGTAACACCTCTCAACATGTGCCATCACAGATGTTCTGTGCTAACCCAACCTGGTTTTCCCAGGACTTTCTTTTTAAGTATTGTTGGCTTAGTTCTCCTTGATG